AAGCAGCCGGGAGACCAAAGGTCAGGAATGATGAAGAGCCTGTCATGGGCACAGGCACCTGGGTGAGTGACGGGGTGTCTTCTCATGCTGTGTAGGGGGGGGCGGGGGGCTGGGCATGTCCATTAAGGAGTACACACTGAGCTCCTCAGCAGTTCCCCAAACCCACTCCTCTGCGGTCAGCTGGACAGGCAGCTGGGAGTTGACTTCCCTTTCATTTCCCGGAACCCATGGTCAGCCTCCTGCCCCAGCCACACTGACCACTGAGCCCACCTCACCTCTCTGTTAGGCACAGCCTGCCAGAACCGTCTCCCCCAAACTATTACTTCCTTCCCATTGTGGGCATGTGACTTCACCTCCCTTTACCGCAGCTTCTCTATCTGTAAATGGGGATAATGAGAGTATCAGGCTTACTGGGTTTCTGAGGGAATGGAATATGATCAGTAGGCCCTTGATATGGTCTGGTCAACATCTGCAATAGTCTCAAAAAATAAAAAAAAATTAAAAAGAAAAGAACAGCAGGCTTCAGTAGGAAGGAGGATGGTCTTTGAGATGAAAGTCCACCATTCTCCTAGGCCGCAGCACCTGAATAAGTCTCTTTCGTTTTGCACCAAAATAACAAAACCCCCAAAAACAAACAAAAGAAAATTTTTAAAATGAATGAGCGAATAGTCGAGTCTATGAGAAGTGTCTGTGCAATAAGATGATGAAGGAAAAAACTGTCCCATCAGCCCCACTTTTCTTTGGGACCATGTCTGCCTCATGCCTCTCGGACACCCTTCTCTCCCCTTCACTCAGGGCTCCCAGAAAAACCTCCCGCCGGACGGGCCCCCAGACCAAGCGTCACCTGCTGAGAAGGGCCCTCTGTCGGGGGAGCAGCAGGAGCTCTACTATGCCAACCTCACCTTTGAGGGGCTGAAGCCACGGGAGCCTCGGGACCAGGAGGCCACCAGCACCCAGGAGTACGCAGTGGTCAAGCGCAGAGGCCAATGAGACCTCGCACAGAGCTCGGTACTGGCCAGAGGCATCACAGCCCCTGGGGGAGGGGGTTGGGGGGAGAAGTCCGGGACTCATTGCTGAAGCGTGAGGAGACCTTGCAGCCCGATTAACATTAACGGCTGGATGAGCAGCCCCAGGCAGAGCAGAAAGAAGACAGGCGATGGGGTTTGAGAGATGGGATGGGCCGGCTCTCACGTCCACCTGCACCTGTGCTGCAGGTGAGCTGCTCCGTGACGCTGTCTCTCCCCCTCCCGCGCCCTCCAGAACAGCACTTCCTGGCTCCTGGCACATGGTCTAAGGTCTGGGTTTTCTAATAAATCCCGTCTTCTCATCGTTCTCTGGGTGGCTGTCTCCCGGATCGCACCCCGTCTGAAGCGCAATGACAAATTACACAGACTACAGTGTAGACCCCGGGTAGGATTCTCCTCCTCCAGGCATCGTTACTGTGGCCTGTAGCAGGTGGGTCACTACAATCCCATCAAGGACTGAGGGAATTCAGAACCCAGTTTCTGGTCCTATTGCGTCTCATCTATTTTCAGTCCTAACCACAAGATGGCGATGTTTACGGGGCCTCTCCTTCTTGGAAAGACTTCGTTTCTGGCCCCATGAGATTCTTCCTCTTCTTCTTCTTCCACATTTTTTATTTCATTTCAGAGAGGAAGGGAGAGGGAGAGAGAGATAGAAACATCGATGATGAGAGCAAATCATTGATTGGCTGCCTCTTGCACGACCCCTACCAGGGGACTGAGACCGCAACCGGGATATGCCCTTGATGGGATCAAACCCAGGACCCTTCAGTCTGCAATCCAATGCTCTATTCACTGATCAAAC